TTCCCACTGCGGGCGCCGCAGGTCCAAGACTTGAGGGAGCTTGCGAGACTTTGGCCACTGCCAGCGCAGCAGGTCCAAGGCTTGGGGCAGCTTGCGAGACTTTGGCCACTGCCGGCGCCGCAGCTGCTGGCCTTGGTGCAGCTTGCGAGACTTTGGCCACTGCCAGCGCCACAGGTCCAAGACTTGAGGGAGCTTGCGAGACTTTGGCCACTGCCGGCGCCGTAGGTCCAAGACTTGAGGCAGCTTGCGAGACTTTGGCCACTGCCGGCGCCGCAGGGCCAAGACCTGAGGCAGGCTGGGGCAGCTTGCGGGCCTTTGGCCACTGCCGGCGCCGCAGGTCCAAGACTTGGGGCAGCTTCCGAGACTTTTGCCACTGCCGGCACCACAGGCCCAGGTGCTGGGGCAGCTTGCGAGACTTTTGCTACTGCCGGCGCCTCAGGTCCAAGACTTGGGGCAGCTTGTGAGACTTTTGCCACTGCCGGTGCCACAGATCCAAGACTTGGGGCAGCTTGCGAGACTTTTGCCACTGCCGGTGCCGCAGGTCCAAGACTTGGGGCAGCTCCTGAGACTTCTGCCATGGCCAGCACCACAGGTCCTGGCTTTGGGGCAGCTTCTGAGCCTTTTGCCACGGCTGGCGCCACAGGGCCTGCTTTTGGGGCAGCTTCTGAGCCTTTTGCCACGGCTGGCGCCACAGGGCCTGCTTTTGGGGCAGCTTCTGAGCCTTTTGCCACGGCTGGCGCCACAGGGCCTGCTTTTGGGGCAGCTTCTGAGCCTTTTGCCACGGCTGGCGCCACAGGGCCTGCTTTTGGGGCAGCTTCTGAGCCTTTTGCCACGGCTGGCGCCACAGGGCCTGCTTTTGGGGCAGCTTCTGAGCCTTTTGCCACGGCTGGCGCCACAGGGCCTGCTTTTGGGGCAGCTTCTGAGCCTTTTGCCACGGCTGGCGCCACAGGGCCTGCTTTTGGGGCAGCTTCTGAGCCTTTTGCCACGGCTGGCGCCACAGGGCCTGCTTTTGGGGCAGCTTCTGAGCCTTTTGCCACGGCTGGCGCCACAGGGCCTGCTTTTGGGGCAGCTTCTGAGCCTTTTGCCACGGCTGGCGCCACAGGGCCTGCTTTTGGGGCAGCTTCTGAGACTTTTGCCACAGCTGGCACCACAGGTCCTGGCTTTGGGGCAGCTCCTGAGACTTCTCCCATGGCTGGCGCCACAGGTCCTGGCTTTGGGGCAGCTTCTGAGACTTTTGCCACAGCTGGCCCTGTGGGCTGTGAGGCAGTGTCAGAGACTTTTTCCACAGCTGGCACCACAGTCCCTGCGACAGCTTCTGAGACTTTTGCAATTGCCAGTGTTGTAGACCGTGGGGCAATTTCCAATACTTTTCCCATTGTTGGTGCTGCAGGCCCAAGGGCAGCTTCTGAGACTTTTGCTACTGCTGGCAATGTGGGCCCAGGTCTCAGGGCAGCTACTGAGACTTTTGGTAACACTGGCGCTGCAGTCCCAAGTCTTGGGGCAGCTTCTGAGACTTTTACTGCTGCTTGCACTGCAGGCCCAGGCCTTGAGGCAGCTCCTGAGACTTTGGCCACTGCTGGCACTGCAGGCCCAGGCCTTGAGGCAGCTCCTGAGACTTTTGCCGGTACCAGTGGCACAGGCATAGGCCTTGAGGCAGCTCCCGAGAATCTTGCCATTGCTGGCGACGCAGTTCCAGGTCTCGAGGCAGCTACCGAGAACCTTGCCATTGTCGGTGCCATGGGCCCAGGCCTTGAGGCAGCTACTGAGAATCTGGGCATTGCTGGTGACATGGGACCAGGCCTTGTGGCAGCTACTGAGAATCTGGGCACTGCTGTCATCATGGGGCCCGGTCTTGAGGGAGCTACCGAGAATCTTGGCATTGCTGGCGACATGGGGCCTGGCCTTGAAGGAGCTACCGAGAATCTTGGCATTGCTGGCGACATGGGGCCTGGCCTTGAGGGAGCTACCGAGAATCTTGGCATTGCTGGTGACATGGGGCCTGGCCTTGAGGCAGCTACCGAGAACCTTGGCATAGCTGGTGCCATGGGTCCAAGCCTTGGCACAGCTCCTGAGAATCTTGCCACTGCTGGCACCGCAGGTCCAGGCCTAGGGGTAGCTCCCAAGAGATTTGTCACTGCTGGCGCTGCAGAGCCAGGCTTCGGGACAGTTTGCGAAACTATTGCCGCCGCTGGCGCCACAGGTCCTGGGGCAGCTTGCGAGACTTTTGCCACTGCCGGTGCTGCAGGCCCTGAGGCCGTTTGCGAGATTTTTGTCATGGCTGGCGCTGCAGGTCCTGGGGCAGCTTGTAAGACTTTTGCCACCACTGGCGCCGCAGGCCCTAGGGGAGCTTGAGAGACTTTTGCCACCACTGGTGCCGCAGGCCCTAGGGGAGCTTGAGAGACTTTTGCCACCGCCGGCGCCGCAGGCCCTAGGAGGGCTTGAGAGACTTTTGCCACTGCTGGCGCCACAGGCCCTGGGGCAGCTTGCAAGACTTTTGCCACCGCCAGGACTTTTGCCGCTGCCGGCGCCGCAGGCCCTGGGGCAGCTTGCAAGACTTTTGCCGCTGCCGGCGCCGCAGGCCCTGGGAGAGCTTGCGAGACTTTTGCCGCTGCCAGCGCCGCAGGCCCTGGGAGAGCTTGCGAGACTTTTGCCGCTGCCAGCGCCGCAGGCCCTGGGAGAGCTTGCGAGACTTTTGCCATCGCCGGGACCGCAGGCCCTGGGGGAGCTTGCGAGACTTTTGCCATCGCCGGGACCGCAGGCCCTGGGGGAGCTTGCAAGACTTTTGCCACCGCCAGTGCTGCAGGCCCTGGGACAGCTTGTGAGACTTTTGCCATTGCTGGCGTTGAGGGCCTAGGCCCTGGGGCAGCTTGCGAGACTTTTGCCACTGCTGGTGCCACAGGTCCTGGGATAGCTTGTGAGACTTTTGTCACTACCAGCGCTGCAGGCCCGGGTCTTGGGACAGGCTCTGAAACTTTTGCCACTGCTGGCATTACAGGTCCAGGCTTTGAGGCCACTGCTGGCATCACAGGTCCAGACCTTGGGGCGGCTTCCAAGACTCTTGTCTCTGTCAGTGCCGCAGGTCCAGGCCTTGAAGCAGCTTCTGAGATTTTTGCTACTGCCGGTACCACTTGTTCAGGCCCTGAGGCAGTTTCTGAGACTCTTGCACCTGCTGGCACTAGAGGTCCTGGCCGTAAAGCAGTTTCTGAGAGTTTTGCCACTGCCAGCAACACAGGTCCAGGTCCCAGAGCTGCATCTAAGACTTTTACCACAGGTGGTACCTTGGGTCTCTGGCCTGCTTCCAAAGTTGTCACATGAGCTGTACGCAAAGAATCTGTAGTTGCTTCTAAATTTTTTGCCTCTGCAACGGTTACTGTTTCCAAACTTTTCACTTCCACCATTAACTTAGATTCTTGATCTGGGCCTGGAATTTTCACATCTGCAGTATGACTTGGTAAAGTTTTGAAATCCTCTACACCTATCACTGCTCCCAAATCTTTCATGTAAGGCAATGCCATCATCTGTGTTACGCCTGCAGATTGTGGAACTTCTTCCAAACATTTCACTTCTGCGGTGCCCAACATTTCTGGAGCCACTTCCAAATCTTTCATTTCCATTTCCACCAAAGCCTCTGCTTTTAAAGCCATTTCAAAATCTTTCTTTTGCTCAGAATTAAGCATTGAAATAGTTTCTGAATTGTTTAATGTTGCTCTGATAGAAGATTCTGAAGTCGTTTCTAACACCTCCACCTCCATCATGGTTTCAGATGCTAGAACAGTTTCTGAATCTCTTATTTCTACAGGTTTTATTTTTTCAGTCACATATCCTGAAGTAGCTTCCAAATTTTTCACTTCTCCTACCTCCAATTCTGTTGATTCTGCAACTTTTACCACTGCTGTGTGCAGAAGTTCTGGAACTGCTTCTGAATCTCTTATATTTTGTGTGTGCAGAGATTCGGGAATAGGTTTTAAACATTTTGCCTCTGTGATGATGTTAGGTTCTGCAGCAGTAACCACAGTCATACTGTCACAGACTCTACCCAATTCTAAATTTTGCACATCCACCAAGGGCAGAGATTCTGAACTTGCTTCCGAAGTTTTTACCATTGTTATGGGTAGCAATTTTGGAACTTTCATCCTTGTGATGGTCTCAGATTCAGGAACTGCTTCAGAGCCTTTTACAGTTTCCAACTCTTTCACCTCTGGCACAGTCTCAAATTCTGTTCTAAGTTCCAAGTATCTCATGTCTGTTATGGCAGTAACAGACTTAGGAGCAGTTTCAAAATTTTTGTCCTCTACCACAGCCTCAGTCTGTGGAGTTATTTCCAACTCTTTTGCTTCTGTCATGACTTTGGATAGTAGAGATGTCAAGTTTTTTCCTTCTGCCATGGCCTGAACTTCCATAGCTGTTTCTGAAGCTTTCAACTCTGCCACCGCCTCAGATTGCAGAGATGGTTCTGAAGATGTGGCTTCTGCTATGGCCACTTGTTCTACAACTGATTCAAAGTCTTTCAACTCAGACATTACCTCAAATCTGGATGCTTCCAAAAGCTTCACTTCTGCTGATGCCTTTGATTCCATAACAGTTTGCAAGCTTTTCACCTTTGATGTCTCAGAGATTAAAGTTCTTTTGTTTGACTTCTCCCTATCTTTAGACTCTGCTGTGACCTCAGATTTTACAGTTTCTTTTGAATCCTTCACCTTTGCTAGAGCCACACACTCTGCAACTGCTCCCAAAGTCTTCATCTTTGCTACAGCTCCAGACCCAAGAGCTACTTCTGAAGCTTTCATGTGTTCTGTTTGCAGGGACAACTGAGGTAACTCTGAACTTTCTGAGTCTTCTGCACCTTGCAGCTGCAGAGTTGTTTCTGGAAACTTAGTCACTGCCACAGGTTCTAAGGCCACTTTTGAATCAGCTGCCACAACTACAGGTTCTAGTGCTCCTTCCAAAACTTTCACCACACCCGCAGAGCCTAGTTTTCCTTCCAAATCTCTGACACCCTTTGTTTGCAGAGATAGAGAAGTTGCTTCCAAACTTTTCACCTCTGCCATGGTCACAGTTCCTGCAGCTGCCTCTAAGTTTCTTATATCATCCATTTGCAGACATACTGGAATTGTTTCAACTCTTTTCTCTCTTGCCATTGGATGCAAGGTTGTTTCTAGAACTTTCACACCTTTCATTTCAAGTGACAAAGGAGCTGCTTCCAATACTTTAGCCTCCACTGTAGCCATATGCTCATGGATTAACTGTGGGTCTTTTGCTTCTGGCCTGGCCGAGGATTCTAGGATCACTACTGAAGCACTCTCTCCTTTCATTTTCAGAGATTTTTCTGGGCCTTTCACCTTTTCTATAGGCACAGTTTCTAGGGTTGCTTCAGGAACTATAGCTGGAGATTCTGAAGTAGTTTCAATATTTTTTGTCCCTCTCATAAGCTCTGGAGCTGCAGCTGAATCTCTGAGTTCTTCAATTTGTAGAGATTCTTGAGTTGATTCTGCACCTTCTACTTCCATCACAGACACAGGTTCCTGGACTGCTTTTAAAACATCTGCTATAGCCATAGATTTCAAGGCTAAATCTTTCCTATGACCCACATGCACAGATGCCATAGATGCTTCTGAGCCTTTCACCTCCGTTACAGCCGTTGCTGCCAGGGCTGCTTCCGGAGACTTCAAGACAGCAACAGGTTCCAGAACTTTACCTGAATTTTTCATGTCCCCTATGTGCGCAGAATCTTCAGCTTCCCCAGTCACTGATTCCAAGAATGTTTCTGTGCCTGCCACAATTACAGGCTCCAAGGCTGCTTCTGAATCTTTCATACTTCCCATGAGTGCAGAACCTGTAGTCACTTCTGAATGTTTCACCTCTGCCACATGCACAGGTCCTTGGCTTGTTTCCAAAACTTCCATCTCAGCCACAGATTTTGGCATAGATACCACATCACTTCCCAGAGACTGAGATCTTAGAGATGTTTCCATAATTTGTGTCCCCACCACAGTCACAGATTTTAGAGTCGTTTCAAGGTATTTCATTTGTGCTGTGGCCTCCGATTCTGCGGTTGTTTCTGAATCTTTTGTTTCCCCAGTGCTCACAGATCTCAGAATAGTTTTTGAATCTTCTAGTGCTTTTATTCTCCCAGAAGTTGAAGCAGCTTCCAAATCTTTTTCAATTTCAGACTTACTAGCAACTCTAGTTCTACTGGTAAATGAAGTACCGCTTTCAGCATCAACAGTCAAAGGTACATCATTTTCACTCATGTTAACAGCTTTATGAGACATACTTTCATGAGGTTCACTCAGCTGCTTTACTTTAGCTGGCTCTTCTTTAGTGCAATCTTTAATTGTAGTTATACTAGCATTTTCTTCATGGTGATCAAGTTTGCCAGTTTGTAAACTGAATGCACTGCATGTATCACTGATGGTCAAGTTTGTTTTTTCACTCTGAAGGTTTTCCAGAGATTGAGAATCTGATAGCAAATGAGAAACAAGTCCTATACCTGAATGTCTTCCATGTTCTTCACTTATTTTTGAACTCATTTCTTCTGACTGCATGTGGCAGGCATGATCTGAAACTGCATGGTCTCCATGTTCTGTAATCATTTTTTCTGGTTTCAAGTGAGAAGCAGGTTGTAAGTCCGCATGTCCTCCATGCTGTGCACTCAATTTTGATTCCTTTGGCTGCTTCTTATGTTTTTTTTCTTTCTTCCTTTTCTTCTTCTTCTTCTTCTTCTTTTTGCTTTTGTGTTTCTTGTTTTTCTTTGACTTTTTTCTTGGAATTTCATCTTCTACTTCATCGGTAGGACGTCTTTTTGAAGACTGAGACGTACTCTTTGCTGTGTCTGCGTCTACATCTACATCTAAAAAGAAAGAACATTTTCTTTAAAACTAGTTATATTATAAATATTTTGTTTCATCTTTTAACAAATATTTGGGAAGAGGGAAATTAGACCTACAATTTAAAAATCAATGTTATGCAACATAAGTGACTTTTTCACTAGCAAGCACATGAAAGATGCTTAGGTAAGAAAAATAAATTTATCTTTTAAGATAATAAATTAAGTATTTAAACTGCTTCTTGTCAATTTTTACTAGGCTTTTTACACTTAAAACAACAAACTAGACTGATTCACATTATGCAACCAAAAAAAAAAAAACACTTTCCTTTGATCAATAAATAAAACATTTACAGGAAATATACAATTACTTTTGAAAGAAAATGTAAAAATTACAAAATGTAGCAGCAGCAGAAGAAACAGATGCCAAATTTACCAAACTCTAAGCTTAGACAAAGCTTTTACTTTACCTGCTAAATATGCATCTTTTAAACTGATGTGTCAAAATTAACCTGGAATCTGGTTTACGTATTAAAAAAAAAAAAAAAAAAAAACCTTAACAGGTTTTTCAAAGTTTTTTTCTTAAAATTGTTTTGCTAGTACAGTGCATTATGGGGCTCCTACCCGATCACTGAAGAAGAGGGGGAGCCAAGGATCAGCTGGCCATCACCAGCCACCTGGACAAACTGATAGTGACAGAAGGCAGAAATAGGATGCAATTTAATAAAAATAAATGCAAGGTACTCCACCTGGGAAGGAGGAACCCCCAGCACACACATAGGTTAGGGAGTGTCCTCCTCAGCAGCTTGGAGGCAGAGAGGGATCTTGGAGTCATAAATTGACTCCAAGATGAACATGAGCCAGCAGTGTAAGGAGGCCATCAACAAGGCCAATCGCACCTTATCGTGCATTAGCAGGTACACGACTAATAGAACAAAGGAGGTGATGCTCCCCCTCTATGCGGCACTGGTCAGGCCGCAGTTGGAGTACTGTGTCCAGTTTTGGGCGCCGCACTTCAAGAGGGACACAGGAAATGTCGAGAGGGTCCAGAGGAGGGCCACTCGCATGATTAGTGGCCTTCGTGATAGACCCTACGGGGGGAGGTTGAGAGAGCTGAATCTCTTCAGTCTTCACAAGAGATGGCTGAGGGGAGATCTTGTGGCCGCCTATAAATTTATTAGGGGAGGTCAACGGGGAAATGGGGAAGCGCTGTTTACTAAGGTGCCCCAGGGAGTGACTAGGAATAACGGGTGTAAACTAGTCAAGAGTAGATTTAGGTTAGATTATTAGGAAGAAATTTTTCACAGTACAGGTGGCCAGGATCTGGAATGGGCTTCCAAGAGAGATGGTGCTATCACCTAGCTTGGAGGTCTTCAAGAGGAGGCTAGATAGTCACCTGGCTGGGGTCATCTGACCTCGGTCCTCTTTCCTGCCAGGGGCAGGGGGTTGGACACGATGATCCACTGTGGTCCCTTCCGACTCTACAATCTATGAATCTATAAGGCCCTTGAATAAAATGGCCACCTGCCTTAGATGTGACCAACATAGTACAACCAGTGACTGACAGGCCTGGGACAGAAGTAGAGAGTCAGGTGACCACCCAAGAGAGAAAAATCAGCCCAGGACATGAAGCAAGCAAGGCAGTCTGGCCCTGCTAGCTGCAAGAAGAACTTAAGGGAGGAACAGGGCCTGATGGGACAAGGAAGGAGGACTCCAGGCTGCAGGGAAGCTGCAGGAACCCTCTGAAGCACCAGACATGCACATAAGTAATTTGGAGCCTTACACAGTAGCTGTCCCAGGGTGTAGTGTTAACACATGGTAAGGAACCTTTTGTTTGAGAGCAGAAGATCATATCTTTTTGTTTGTATTTAAATTCCAGAGATCAGGTTGTAGCTGTAGAGGTGGAGGAGACGAAGAGTGCCAAGGGCACACCAGCTCCTGACCTAGACCCTTTGAAGGGTCTAGCACTGCTGTTAGCAGAAGGACTGTGGTACTGGATAGCAAAGACTGGGGGCACAAGCCCAGAGCCCACGAGGGCACAACCAGGAGCCAAGGGGCCCAAAGCCCACGATGGCATGGCTGGAGCTGGGGCCCGGGAGCCAACAGTCCTGCGATAGCAAATCTCAGGTGGAATAGGCCCAACCAGAGTAAAGTGGGCCAAGGCCTCAGCCCAGCCTGGCCTAGCCTGAGACCCCAAACCCCCATACCCTCTGGAGCAGGGGTGAGCAAAACAGATCTAGCCCACAGAAAGTGGAGGGAAACCCAGGGCAGAGCCACAATCTGCTCCCCGCATGTCCCTGCAACAGGCACCAGTTCCGCAGGCAGGGGTGTATGGACATGCGGGGAGCTGATCGCAGCTCTTCCCCAGGCCCCAGCCCTACATTGTCATCACCCCGCTCCCTGCCCACCCGTGGCACCATCCCATCTGCCTGGCCAAGCTTGTTCTGTGCACACAAGTCCTGGGCTAGTCTTCATGAAGACCCCACCCACACTGTCCAGTGCCTCCAGCGGTGGGTGCAGAACAAAGATGGCCGAGGACCAGATCTATTGCCCTCCATCCCTAAAACAGTTCACCAAAACGCCTTAAGTGGGCCCTCCAGCCCAAATAATTGCCCACCCAGGCTCTACAGGCAGCCTCCCTGTCCAATCATAACATCAAGCTGTGGCAGGAAATACAACAGTGTGGGACCCTGAGAGGCCAGAGGGGACAAGCAAAGTGGGGTCCAGGTGGCAGCCAGGGGGTGACTGAGGACCCCAGTGCCGGACCAACTACACATTGGTATGCAACCTTGTGGCCCCATAGACCAAATAAGTGGTATGGAGTCAATCTGTGGCCCTGATCTGATGTATGCAGGCCCAGGCACCAGCCCTGCACCAGATTCAGAGCTGGAACTGAGGTGGGGTGCCCAAAGTACCAGCCAGATCCTGTGCACTAGGCCATATCATCTGGCCTGAGGGGCCTGGAAATCTGGTAATGGGGAACCAGTGGCAATGTTAATTTTGCTACTGCTTCCCCTCTGCCAAATTTCCAGACCCTTGGGAACCGCAGGCCAGATCACAGAGCTCCATGAGCTAGATCTGGGCAGTGGGCCAGAAGTTGAGCATCCCTGTGCTAGTACAGAAAAATCTTAACTATTTGACAAAAAAATTGTGATTTACTTTAATGATACAGTAAAAGAAGAAAGTCCTGCCCAAGTGCAGGGGGGCTGGACCCAATGATCTCGTGAGGTCCCTTCCAGCCCCTAATATCTATGAACTTGTGATAAAATTAAAGCAGCTAAAAACTAAACTTTACCCATTACCACTATCCAATATGAAATAAATGCAGAAGACATTTTTAGTTAAAAGTAAAATCAGACTTTAAAAATGTAACTTTACTAAGGTACTGATAAGTGATCATTAAAGCCTTGATCCTGCCAAGACCCAGGCACACTAAACTATGCACTTAATATAGTGCAACAGAAACAGATGGACCTCATACAGGGGCAGCGAGTAAGTGCAAGATCAAAGGGGAAAAAAAAGCTAAACTTGTATGAGTTCAGTGCTTCAACATCCAAATTCTAGGCAACTGGTTTCCAGAACATAATTAAAAGCCCAGAATTAAGTATAATGGTTCC